AATATAGGAGGAAGAATTATTCCTGGAATAGCCAGGAAATAGCACAGGTAGTACAATTAGGCTTAGAGCTACTTGGGATATTAGAATTCTAGAGTATAAGTAGAAATATCTTTATATGTTTTATGAAATAATAGCTTGGAAAATTGGTTCAAACAGTGATAGTTCATAAACAAGAATAAAAAATATTAAAAATATAAAATATAACCATTGCTTAAAATTCAGTGGGCCACATTAACGATATTGTATACTGGTGAAGAATTTATTACTACATTTTAAAATAGGAATGAAGGATATTATCTTGAATAGAATCCCCAAAACAAAGAAATGAATGTTTGAAAGATAAGCTAGGAGTCATGAAGAACTAAGAAAGTGTAAACATATATCCAATAAGAGTTCCATAAAGACAAGAGACAATGAAAAATCCCCCCAGATTATCAACCTACACATTTAAAATTCCAATGAAAACTAAGTGGAATAAATAAAAAATAAATAGATTTAGATAAGTTAGTATAAAATTGTTGAGTATCAGCAATAAAAAGATCTCTAAAATAGCCACCCTTCAATGACAGTGCCCACAAATGAGAATTTAATTAACTAGATTTGTGGTCATATTTCAATAACAGGAGTGGATGACAGAGTTCAGAAGACACTAAAATGGTATTTTCTATGAGGTAAAAAGAGAATAACTGCCAACCCTGAACTTAACACATAGTGAAAATATTTTTCAAAGAGACAAAAATAAAATCAAGAACAGTTTCAAAATCAAAAACAGCCTTTGCAAATAAAAGTTTAAAGTATTCCAATCAATTGTGAACTAATTCCACAGGGAAGTTCCAAGATTTTAAGTAATGAAAAAAAAAATGGGCAAAAATGTGAAATCAACAAAGCTAATTCAATTCTCACTAAATGAAACATTAATGATACTCTTATCAAGTTTTAAAAGAAATGGGATTAATAACACAAAATTTTTTCCTTTGAAATCGAAGAGAAGTAATTAGAATTAAAATACCTTTTTCTATACCAAAAACAGAAAACAACAAACCTTCAGGGATTACCACTCATAATGCACACTCAAAAACTGGCAGCATATCTGTAAAGACACTGACCCATGAGTTTAGTGATACTAACATGCCAAATGGAACATTTGACTCTGAGTGTAATGACTGTGTACCTTCTGGGAGCATAACAGAAAGAAAATTTATTTTTCTAAAAAAGCTTGTTCTCTTGAGCATCTTCTAATGGTTTGGGAGGGGATAGAAATGCTCAAAATTATACACTTCCTAGTAATAGAGATGACAAAACTGGCTTTGTATACCACAAGAAAACTAAAATGTTATCACATATTTTCTTTTATATATCTAACATATTTATATTCTAAGATTATTGTGTGATAAATTATGGATTTTCTAACATTTTTGTCTTCTTTGCTATGCTAATCTAATGAAAGAAGGCCCAATCTGTTTACATAATAGACTCTATTTGGACATTATTTTCCGGACACCAGGAGCAACTAAAGTTTTTGAGCACAGAAGTAGTATAATAATAACTATGCTTTTAGAAAATTAGTCTAGAAAAAATCAACATTCTATTTGCAAGAGTACAAACCATTTAGCCATTGAAATAGAAAAGTAAGTACAATAGGAGAATGTATCAAAATTATTGAGCATACTTCTCCTTTTCTGCTTTGTTACACTTGTATGATTCATATATCATATATATACACATAAATATCAAGATCAGTGTTTTTAAGAAATAAAAATATTATTGTCAATAACATCTGTCAATAAATTCTGCTTGTTAAATTTTGTTGTTCCCCTGATATCCAGTTAGTCTGAGTAAAGATCTTTTACAAAGAAGAGATTTTTTTTTTTTACACTGAGTCATATAACTAGGATTTTCTCTAACATGCACTATTAAATTTATCTATAGGTAAAAGTCACCCAACATTATGCAAATAAGTGAAAAATCACTCACAATGTAATGTGATAGTTTTAAAAAGAGAATATTTCATTATTGTTTAAAATAAAAGGTCATAAAATCAAAGAACACTTTTAAAAACATATTTTTTCCACTATATTTATAGATTGACCTCATGAATTTTTATACAAAGAAGTGTTTCTCAAAAGGAAAACTGTCAAGAAATATAGCACGGTATTCACAGTTTGATGAATCTGAAACGTGTACTTCCAATTGAGCGATAACAATTGCAAACAACAGCCTGCACAAATGAAACAGAGAAAAACTGACTGAGGAGGTACAATAGAATTCAGTGTACCTTTCGAAACTAGAACTGTAATCCAGTTTGTAAGAAAATAAAGAATGGAAGTATTGGCCTAAACTCCACTGAATCACAGAAGCCTAACACAATACAACACAAGTGACATCCTTTTCTCAAAGAGACATAAGGCTCATTGAGCCAGGCGATTCAATTACCCTCTCAAACTGGAAAGAATCCCCCTCCTGTGTTGAGGTCCACTGGCAGAGCAATATGGGACAGCCTACATTTTACACAGTCAGTAAATACCTAAAAAGCTGCAGGCTTCAAAGAAAAAGAATCTTTGACCTTTCATCATTGCTACAGTGATTCTTCAACAAAAACATTGCTTACAATAGTCTCTTAAATGCCCGACAAAAGATTACATTTTCATTAAATATCTTCAAATATCTTATATTCATATGGAAATCTGTTTAAATAAATACCTAAGCACAATGCTTCATTAAGTAGTAAAGAATATGAACAGATTAATGAAATGGAAAGAGGTTTTCCTAAAAGAGAGATGATTTTGATCTTGCTTAGACATTTTATAATGTCTCTTCAAATAATATCATTATTCTTTTTTTGTCATTTTCCCTATAAATTTGTGTAGACCTTGAATAAGAGGAGTGGGTACTAATTAGAATCACACAATAACTACTGAATTTTGGAATAGCTAGGAAAATTTGGATAGCATGATCTTCCAAGATGATAGGTCATCATTCTCATACTTTTTCATGCATGATGTCAGAACTGACAGGTTTTAGCCAAATCATTTTAGACTTCAAATTTGGATATTTCACTTCACTTCTTTTCTGATGAGATTATTATCATGTAAAAAATTTCCTATATATTTCACATAAATTATTTGCTTTTGCTAGGAAGACAAAAGTCTTTTAATGATGAATGTTTGGGATACTATGTACTTAATAAGCTCTTACACAAATTTGTCTTATAAATCACAAAACAAACACAAACCATTGATGAATAAATCACAATTTATTATTTTTTTTGGTACCGGGGATCAAACTTGGGTCCTTGCGCTTGAGCAGCAGGCGGTGAATAAATCTCAAATACTGAGTATGCTATTCAAATATTTTCACAGGTGAATCCCAAGCTAATTGTCTTGTCTCTAGCCCACTTATCTTTTTCATGTAATCTAGGCTCTATTCTGACGATACTGTATTTATTATAGTTCCCTAAACTGGGCCCATGTATGCTCACATTCCTGTGTTACCAAATGCTGAAAACTCTTCCTTGATTTCATGCACTGCAATGATGGCCATATTCATTTACAATAATTAGTTATTTAATGTGCCCATCCTTACTCTTGGTTATGAACTTCTAAACAGGGCCACAGTAGGGACCCTGTCTCACCTGGTGCTCTGACTATATTTGGAAAATATAAGCCAATCAATAAATAACCTCAACAACAAAATAGCAATCACTTGTATAGTATTTACCATAGAGAGTGAACAGTGAAATAAATATTCTACATCAATAAAATATTTAAGTAATTACTACATTAGACATTTTCACATACAACTATTATTCAGTTTGCACCACGATTTTGTAAGACAGATGGCAATATTTTCTTCATCAGTGGAAGCAAAGAAGTAATTTTCCCTAGGTTCATAATAAGTACTGTAGTTTGTCTAAAATGTCAACCCAGACATCAGATCCTAATAAATCTTATCATCTAGATGAATGTCATGCTCATATACCTAGGTAATAACTTAATTATTTTGAAATCTTAAAGCTATATAAATTTGTCTATCATTTTCTTCCTAAAATATTTATTTTAAATAATTGACATAGAAATTATCTTTATGTATAAAAATGGTAACTGGTTCTTGAAGACAAATTGTGTGAGTGTTTATAGTGTTTTAGAACATTAGTATTGAATCTTGTAAAATGAAATACTTTCTACAACCTTATGAGATACTTTCTCACTTGTGCTTCTTAATGGTTAAGACACTTGTCCAAGAGCTTTCACTTCGCTTTCACAAAGAAAACAGATATTATTAATTATTCAATCAATCAACTATTCACTTAATGAATAAAACCTGTGCTTAGCCTGCCATTGATTTTTTTTTAAAAAACCTAAAGATCAAAGCTCTCTTTATTCTACTGATGTCCAGAAAAGCCTGTTTTCTTTTTCCTTTCCTTTTTTTTTAGTTACAACTCTACCAGTCTCTATGAATTACTTCATATGTTAACCAAACTAACTGAATTTCAGTGAAAGAAAGAAATCCATTCCCTTGATGTAACTCAGTGTGCCAGATTTACTAGCAAAGCAAATTGTAGAACAATACAATTAGAAAACTTGTGATGATTTTATCATCAATGATAACTCCTATCTGTAACCATTTTGCAAAATTAAGACAATTTGTTCAATGAATGCCTTTTTAAAAAAGAACAAATTTAGGGCTGGGGTGGATTTAGCTCAGTGGTGCCACTGCCTACCCCGCAAGCACAAGGACCAGAGTTCGATTCCCGTTAGCAAAAAAAAAGAACAAATTTCAACATAAACTAATTTTAAGAACAATGCAATATGCATTTCTATAAAATGTAAATCACAACTTTGAATTAATAAAATGTGCTAATTTTCAAATTCCTATAGATATATTTTAATGTTTTAGTCAAATATATTATGAAAAGCTTTATACATTAACCATAATAATAACAGAGATCAAGATCAAATACTGTTATTAATTTTCATTTGCATAGCTATATCTGAATTTACCTTATTTGCAATACTTGTGATGAATGATTTAATATCTAGATTAGTTGGACAGCTCTTCTGGCAGGGGGCATCTGCACATTTCAGGCACCTAGGGATTAAAATAACTGTGTTAATATTACTACAAGGTAACAGACATAATTTTCTACATATATTTTCACCTTATATTCAGAGTTAATATCTAGTAAGTACAAATGAAATTATGCTATTTTTAGATACACAACTTTTAAAAAATAATTACATATTAACTGTATTTCATCTTTTGCACACTTCCTGGGATCTATGAAATAGAACCACTCTAGGTAATAACTGTCCATCCACTCAGAGCTCCTCTTCAGTTTCAAGAGAATCATACCTAAGATGCATCATTCACTTCTTTACTGTAATAATTTTGATTCCTCACTACATCGACAATGCTAAAGCACACAGTACTTTATGATTGTATGTTTCAGTGACTATGATTATCATACAAATGCAAAGATAGTCTCCTGTTTTACTACTTTCAATGTCCTTCTTCCCTTCCTCCCTCCATTTTCCTGATGTTTATAAATCTATGTTCCACTCATAAAACCACTAGATTCTGTAGCAGTTGCTTCACAGCACAGCACAACCCAGACCCATCCTCTTCATGACCAAATCATGTGTTCCCACTAGCTGCCTTGATTCTGCTAAAGAAGGACTCAAACAAGGCCATGTGCCATTTCCACTGGCAACCTTCACCCAATTTCAAGTCAATGAGAGGTTCGTGGACTCTAACCCAGTCCCCTCATTTGGGGAACTAGTTTAGTTTTCAGGGGTTCACTGAAATCTTTATTGTGACTGCTCAGTTCGACTTCCTCACACTTGTACAAATGCTGACATTCAAATAAAATTCTTACATTTCAATTTTATCACAAAATCTTCTTTCTGAAGAATTGGCCAGGGACATGCTCAAACTTTAGTTCACCTAAGAAACATCTGTGATATGATTGATATGTGTCATACAATGTACAAAGGAGGTCTGGTAAATCTGAGTTACTAATATGAGAAGCTGCACTTTGAGAAAAAGAACCTCTAAGGTAATTCTGGTTAGAAGCACAATGCGAGAAAAGGAATGCTGTTGTTACTACTTAGGGACAACTGAAACTTCTGGTTAGAACTACCCTTTATTTGTACATTATGTGTATATTTGTTCAATTACTCACTAATTTAATAAATATTTAAGGAGCCCCTGTGCTGTGGTTTGAGTGTATCTACCAGGTGTTTGTGTGTTGGGATCTTGGTCCTCAGTATGACAGTGTTGGAAGGTAGTATGGAATCTTTAAGAGGTAACTCCTAATGGGAACTAATTAGGTCACAGAAGGCACGGTTCTTACAAGGAACTGATGTAGTTCTTGTGAGAAGTTGGTTGGTTCTTGCAAGAAGGTTGTTATAGAAGAGCAAGCCCAGTTCCTTGCCAGTCTCTCCCTGGCCTTCTGCCTTGTCCATCAATCTTTTGCTCTCACAGGCACTCCTACTGTGATGCTCTACTAAAGGCCTTTGTCAGAGTCTGCACATGCTATTTGGATTTTCAGCCTCCAAAACTGTGAGCTATTCTTTTCTCTACACATTACTTAGCCTCAAGTATTTCACTTTGATAACAGAAAACAGACTCATACATCTTGTTATATGGCAGATCCTACGATATGAGAATATAAAAGTAGCAAACAATACCACCTTGTTCTCTCATGGAGCTTGGAGTCTGGAGAACAGACATATAAAGAATATGGAAATGTGCAATATAATCTATGTAAATTTTGATTCTTATTTTTTTTTTTTGGTACCGGGGATCGGACTCGGGTCCTTGTGCTTGCACAGCAGGTCGCGAAACCACTGAGCTAAATCCCTGGCCCAATCAATGTAAATTTTGGCGAGATGCAGCATGCTAAGGGAAAACAGCAGCGGGAAATAATCCCGGAAGGAGAGTCGGAAAGCTTGTTGAAAAGAGTAATACTTGGACAGAACTTTAATGTATGGCTGAATGTTAGGAGAGCAAATGATGGTGGGAGTTAGAGAGTAAGATCACTTAAGAGAATGATTCAAGAGTAGAAAAAATATTGATAGTTCTTGGAAAGAGAAGTACTGCCAGGGTAAGCGAACTAATGGAATTTAATCAGACCCGCCAGAATGGTTGTAGACAAAAATTACTCTGAAGGTATGCAATTTTTACATATTTTTGTTTGTTTGTTTGTTTTTTGTTTTTGCCAAACCTTGGTGTTTAATAGAATGTTCCTGACATCTACCGGGTGTAAAAGGGGCTTGGTGGACAGTTCATCCTGTGGACTACAGACCTGCATGGCTGGGTAAGGCAGTTGCTTCACCCCCACCTCCCAACAGATTTTCCTGAAAATCCATGGGACAAGTGAGAGAAAGCACGTACCCTTTCCAATAGGGGCAGCATGGCTCCCAGATGATGGCCTCAGGAAGCCTCTCAGCATGGGCAGCCACAGCTGCACACCCCAAGCTGCGGGTCAGAGGTGTCAAGTCTCGCAGCTCTCCTTGGCTGAGGACAGGGGGTCCGGAGCCCTGGTGGCCCTACCTTTTGATGATGGCAATCGCCCTCAGTTTAATGGCCTTCTTGCTGATTCCGGCAACATGGCAGGTGTTCATCATGTTGGTCACATTCTTATAGAACTCGGGAGCCTCTTCCATTACTAGTTTGGGCAAGGCGACCTGGATTGCAATTCTAATATCTGCCAATTGTCCAAGACATGCTGGAAATCTAAATTATGATGAGATTTTGCTTGGGACAATGCATGTTGCCGTGACACGTGGTCCCAAAGGTCTCTGTCATCCCCCATTAAGTGCCAGTGAGAATGTAACTGCAGGTTGCCATGGTGCTGCCAATGAACACCGGCTAGCCATCCAGTGAGCTGGTAGTCCACAGCAATGAGTGGGTGGTGAGGAGGGAAAGCACAAGTGGACCCCTTCCTGTGCACCAGCAGCGTCCACACCTTCCTGTCCACTACTTTGGCACTGTTGTAGGAAATGTCGTAGATCATATGCAGGTCCAGGTCATCTGAGGTTATGCTGAAAACCTTGGCAAAAGCCTGGTGGTTAGGAAGGTCAAGGATGAGTGGTTGACCCAGGCATAGTGGCCAGCTATCATTCCCTTTAGGTAGTCCTGGCCCTGTGGGGAGGCAACCTGACCACAAGCCAACTGCTGGTCATTGACTGTGATCTTGTCTCGCTTCATGGCCTTTTCCATGGCCATCAGGGCATCTATGGTGACCTAGTGGCCCAGGCCCCAGCTGCTGCTGTGGATCATCATGCACACCTGCCCCATGTGGTCCATTCCCATCTTCTTCGCAGCATATTCTTTGAAGATCTCATCCACAACCTGGATTTCTGCATAGTGGTTGCCTGCACCCAGGGTCCCCAGCTGAGGAAGACCTCTCTTTTTGGCCCTCACTGAGATCTTGTTGGGGCTGGCCTGCAGCATCCTCCCATACTCCTCACAGTGCTCCTTGTCCTCTGCCCAGGCATAGCCTGCTCTCAGGGACCAGTCCACACCCATCTCCAAGGCCTCCTTCCAGGTCTTTGGCATTCATCGGAATGACCCCTTTGGACCCCACGCCAACAGGAACGTAGTCAAACATCGCTTGGGCCAGTTGTTCCTTCACAGGTTGGACATCACTTTCATCCAAGTTGGTTCTCAGCAGGCAGATACCACAGTTGATGTCAAACCCAACACCACCTGGAGACACCACTGCTTCCGGGTCACTCATATCAAAGGCTGCCATATTCCCAATTGCAAACCTATACCCTGAGTGGACATCAGGGAGCCCAGTGGACTGATGAACAATCCAAGGCAGGGCTGCCATGTTGCCAATCTGCTTCATGGCTGGTAGGAAGCCACCAACACCACCTCCTCAACAGGCATTACTTAATTCCTCAAACATTAATTTCTCTAGAGCATCATTCACATAGAAATAGGCTCATTTTCTATCCAATTCTATGTGTTAAGACCTTGTTGCTTTTCTTTCGAGGAAATAATACCTGTTTCCATGTCATTCTTTTATAAGAGAGTCTGAATCAATTTCTCAGTACCTAATTAATATCTTGTTTTTAAATCTGATTTCTTTTCTCTGGTTTGTGCCCTTAGCCGTCTCTCTAAATTAAATTTTACACAATGAGTACCAAAGGCTTTTCATAATCAATTGTCCTCTCTGAAATGTAGTCATTAAACCTCTTCCCTATTATTTCTGTAAATGTCATTGTTAGATTCACATCTATCATTTAGTTGAATTCCTATCTATTCATACTTATGATTTTTTCTTTAAACACTGTACATGATTCAAAATATAGTTTATTGAAAGTATGACATACAGCATATATTTTTCAACTCAATGCAAAAGGAATATATGACATGGTCTATTCTATCCTTGATGTTGAAATGAGGTGATATCTATATGTTTTACCATCATGTAGAAAGATATGTTGAGCATTAACAATGGTTTGAAGGATACCCTAATATATGGTAACGTAACACAACTAAAATTTAGCAAATAAAGTACTATCTTAAATATCTTCTCATTTATAAGTGAGCCATTTGAAGAGTTTAAAAATATCTGCCATTACACAGGAACAGAGATACACAGAGATAGAGACAGAGATAGAGGGAGGGAGAGAGAGAAGAAAAGAAAGGGAGAGAGAGCTCTCATACAGATTCTGGTTATCCCTAATGAAGTCGTAAGTTTTCTGCTTTTCTTTTTTTCTAACACCCAATTTGAATAATAAGGTAATTAAAAAATAAACTTATAATGTCAGTAGGTATAAATGAAAAAATTAATATGCAGTGGATTTTTCTGTTCTAACAAAGAAATCTTAAATTCAACATAAACAGATTCACTTAACAGCATTGACAATGTAAGGATTTTTAGTTGTGGTTATTAAGCCTCTTTACCAAATAATTCTCCTTTTATTATTGAGCTAGTTCACAAATAACAGCTGTTGGAAATGTCAGATGTTAATGAGGCAGGGCAACACAAACCTGAATTGTAGCATTCTTTTTTTCTTTGGTGCCATGAATATGCCAGAATGGGCAGACTCTGATAATAATACCATCTTGCA